TGCGCAAGAGAACCGGGTCAGAGAGAATGAATTGCAAGTTATTTTCTACTTCCATTTACGCTCAGTTCCATCCTAAAATTAGATACAAACGAATAATAAAAGTCTGACAGCAGATATGACAAAGCTAAATAATTATTTATATTATTTAATACCTAGTACATAGGTAAAAGAGATGTTATATTTGAAACCTCTATAACAATATTAAAAAGTCTTAACACCATCAAAGTACAATATCAATTGAATTTGTCAATGACAAAACTGGCGAAATTTACTACTTCCTCTGTTTTTTTATATAATTCTTATTCTTCTCATTCTTAAATATACATACAGTCATAAGCCCTAAAAACAGCGATATTTATATATATTCTCTCTCTCTCTCTCTCTCTCTTTCTATATATATATAAGAAGCCGGTGTAACTTATGTTTTTCATTGTTTTTTATTCGTGTAAAATAGACGCTTTAATTGTATGCAATATTTTTATATTAATCTATAATATTCAAGGTATTCTCTTTCATTTTTTAATAAACGATCTAATATTTTCATAACAATTTACAATCCTTTACTCTCATAACATATTTAATTAATTTGTTCAACATATATATATATATATATATATATATATATAATATTCTCAAATTGATTTTGCAGCAAATATATATTTCCTACTATACTTTTTTACGTACACATAATATTCATTATTATAAATATTGATACGTATTTGATCTTTAAAATAAGTTCAACACTTACATTGTAAGAGCTAATTTTATGAACATACACAACTGCTGGTATAATTTGTATATTGTCAATAAAAATATTTTTATTATCTTCCTTATTTTAATTTAAAATTTATTATTGGTAGATTTTTATTTTTTATCTTTAAGAATAATCGACAGTTTATTAACTTACAAATACTAACAAAATTTTCAATAAATAGAATTTATTATTAATTGTAATGTAAATATATAACTATATACAAACCTCTAATTAGTTTTTGAAATTTCTATTATGTAGAAAATGTATATTTATCTGTTTAGCATATCACTGAACTTACAAGCTTGCAAATTTGAAGTTTTGGAAAGTTTTTGAGAAGTCGATGATGTCGTTACAAAATATTTGAATAAATTATAATATTTTAATATATTCTATAAATATATTAACACAATGTATCCATTGATTCGTGAATTTGTAATAATTTGATAAAAATTTAAAAAACTGAATTTAATCAACAATATAATATTGACTATTAAATATATATTTATGAAGAATCACTTGAAATAAAATTATATATAATTCTTAGTATCGATAGTAAAATAAAATACAGGTTATTTCTAACTGAACAAAAACAGGTAGCATATATATATATATATATATATATATATATATATATGTGTGTGTGTGTGTGTAAGAAGATAAATTGCATAAGTTATTCTTTTTAATTATTATAAATAATGAATAATTCATTGACAAATTATTGATTTAAAAATGAATGTAAATGACTTCATATTTCTTTTTTTAATGATTATTTGTTTCTGCACTAAATTTGAAAGCAATTTCCGAAGGAAAGAATATTTAACAGTTACTTCTTGAATTAAATTTACATTATTGTAATAACAATCATAATTATATCAAATAAAAATAAAATAAAAACTAAGTGCTCTAATAGTATCATAATAGTATCTCATACAATTCAATTTGTAATGTTTTCCGGTTAGTGATCAGTTCAATTGGCTAGTAATATCGAATTCCACAGATATTTCTGTGATCGATTATTGTTGTAAACTGAACCTGTACTTATGATAATAGGCTTCGATAGAAGCAACTTCAAGAATTGGTGGCCCGTATTATGAGTATTGTTATACGAGTATTATGGGAGAGCAACAAGAAGATCACATTAAAGATGATGAATTTGCTTGTCAGAAATGTATATATCCATCTAATATATATTGGCGATAAAGAACGTAGTTGAAGAGAAGTTATCTACCAGAATTAAGCATAAATATATATATTTATATATATAAATATTAAAAAAACATGTATCTACTTCTGTGAAACTATATTAACTATGTTCTTTACAACTATATGTAAATAGTTTTGGCTACAAAGCAAATATTTCTAAAGTGTAAAGTACTATGCGGGTCGAAATTCTTCTTATAAATGCTCATCATTTCTCAAAGGAAAACATGGACAACTACCTTCCCTACGGTATGGACATTACGCATCTTCTCCTGTATACTCAGCTTAATAACGAAATACGTTATTCCGTCGCCTATTGGAGAATGTAATACAAAAACCATCATATATCCAAGAAATGACGAAATTAAAATAATCGTGGAAATGTAAAAAAGTCAAGAATATAAAAAAATTTTACCAATTTAGAAAAAATGCAATTATTTAAGAATTATTATATTTAATTAGAAACGATTACATTTTTATAAAAACAAATGTTACATTAAAAATTTTATTTTCGAATTTACTTCTAAATATACAAACATTTCTATAAAAATAATAAACTTATAGCACAAGTTTTGGCTATTATACGTAATACAATATAATTTCCAATACAGAAAGATAATATCTAATACTTAAAATCTCATTCAATATACAATCAGATATATTGCTACGAATATAATGTGCATAACGAATTTTTATATTTAATATTAATGTATAAGTAAAATATTAATTTTTTTTTTTAAATAAAATTATATAAATTTTAAATATACTTCTAATTATTGATTTATTAGAAATACAAATATAATTAGAAATAGATTTATTATAAGATTATTTTATTAGATTCTCTCGTTTAGTCAACGTAAATCAATGTTAAAAATATCTTTATTAATATTTAACATCTATTGGAATTTACATTAAAGTGGAATGTAAAATTAAAAAAAAACTTAACATCAATAAAAATTATGACATTCAATAAGCAAATATTTATTTTTATTAGACAAATTAATTTCTTTCATCTTTTAAATGAAATTTCAATAAAATTAGAATATGCTGCTTCACTTAAAATTAACAAATATTATTAGTTTATGATAAATGAAGTTATGTATAGAAACAAGTGATTCAATAATATTAGTTATTACTTGCATAATGAATATTGTATATGCATCTAATACCTCCTTTCTAATAAATTTATTTTTAATAAATTTTAGAATTGGAAATTAAAAAATTCTTTTCAACAACTATGTTTTACAATATTTTAAGTATTTAATTTTTTTGTAATTGTCAATAACGTAAACGAAATTTTCTAAGTTGACAAAATTAGTTTCAAGCATAACATTATTAGATTACCTCTATATATACTTTTTTGTAAAAATATTTGTTCGTAACATAAATTACATAACACTTATTTTGAGATTGATAGATTAGAAATAAGTTTTTTAAAAATACTTTATAAATTTAAAGATAAATAATCATATATTTTACATATCTATGACTATATTGATTACATTTTTTATTTTATTTTATTTAGTTTTATTTGATACAATAGTTTCTATATTTTATTAAAATAATCATAAAAATTATTTATAATATATTTTGTTTGAGCACATATTATTTATTGAATTGTATACCATTTTATATATTAATTTGACCAAGTTAAAAAGAAAAGCTTAAGAAAATGAAAAAATTTTAATTTTAGTTTTATATAACACAAATTTTATAATACTTGGTATTTATGTGTATAACGTAAGGCTTAAAAAATTAGTAAAGTTTGTTATTAATAACATTACCTTATTATGTAATAACAATATAAGTCGCAAATGAAAAGATAAAATTAAAAATTAAGCCTTGCGTTAAAATACAATAGTTTCCCATTCGCATGCCTTACACATATCGAAGCATTTCATCTCTTAAAGCTACGAATGAAAAACGATATAGCAGTATAAAATGTTCCTTGTCTTGTTGGGAATCGTCTACTAGTTATTCGAGATAACTAGAATTTACAAAGCAGATGTTGACAGAATTACATCTTTATATTTCTCAATTCTAGAAAATGAGTAACCAAAGTTCAATATAGCTTATCTATAGGGAAAAAAAACATAAGTAAAAGAAAACAATGAAGACAACATAACGTTGGGATATCTGAAGTATTGCTAAAGGAAGACAGTATTAGTAGTGCATGAAGCGTTAACTCTACTTACCACAAAACGATCCAAACTGAACTAAAACCCACTGCACTTCTATTCAACGACCGTTGCACTCAAACACATTCTCTCTCTCTCTCTCTCTCTCTCTCTCTCTCTCATACTCATTCTTATTCGTGTGGTATCCTCCCACTATCCTGCTTCCACCGCCCCGCCACTCCCAGAGTCCTTCCGAAGTTTGGGTTTAGTTCTCTTCGCGCCCCTCTCTCGTCTACGCTCTTGTCTCCTCTTTCCGACGGTGGCAGCACCCTGTACACTACTACCCTTGTTAAACGAGTAGTAACGGCAAGGTATCAGTTGGTAGCTGTCGTTCGGGAGCGACGTAACTCGTTACTTTCTTTTGCATTATCCCGCGGTGTTTTTATCAGTATCGCTGCAACTATCGCTCTTGATGTTATTGTTGCGGAAATTCGTACTCGGTTAAAACAAATATACATATATATGTGTGCGCGTGTGCGTGTTCGTGTGCGTGCGTGTGCGAATGTGTATATACGTGACTGTCTGTGTTCGTATGTAAATTTTTATGAGTGAATGTGTGTGTATGTGTGTGCGTGTGCGTGTGTGTGCGCGTGTGTGTGCGCCGCGCGGGCGCGTGTGTGAATTATTAAAAACATTGAATAAGAATGTATAATGTTATTCTATTATGTGAGAACTGCCGGTATGATTTCATAAAAGATCATGCAAGTCGATAAAGTGGTCCAAGTCAAAGGGCTTTTTAATGATATTGTTAAACTGCTAACAAATATATTTTGAGTAAGATTTCATTGAAAAGTTCACTGACCGAAAGAATAAAAGAAGATTGAAGCCATAAGTGAGCTAAAATAAGAAAAAAATAATCGAAATCTTGTATCTGCCGTGTAATATATTGCTGATTATAAACGATCGTCTCTGAAATCGATAGCACACGAGTCTTCACTTAAATGCGGTAACTAACTCATAATATTGTTGATTGAATTTAACCGGTTTATTAATTATTGGGTTCATGTAGTTTATTATTGAATCAATTTTAATATTAAATTCTCATAATTAAGGTGTTATGTATTAATGGGTTATTGAGTGAATCAAATGCGTCGAAGAACTTTCGATCTTGTATGCATGATCGGAATTAAAGGATCGTTAATACAATTAAAATAAAAATACTTAAATTTTACACCATAATTTTTTCTTTCATTTTTATTTATTAATTTTCATATTTACAATAAATAATTATGTATTAGTGTATCCACGAAAATGCGTGCATGCTTATTTTAATCCATACATGTATGTAAAAATTGTGACATGGTTATCCACTTATGCATGTAAATGTACATGCGTATATAATTTTGCATATATATATATATATATATATATATATATATATATAACTCCTTACACATAGCACTATGATAATTCATCTAACACGTATAAGTAATCAACTTGAAATGAATGTACCGGTAACAATAGCGGCATTGATTGCCACTATTACAAATTTCTATTCCCCACCGTACAGGAGTATGAAAATACTAAGACATCGTGTTACGTCGCAGGCGACCACTCCCTTAAATACATCTATACGCACAAGAGCGCGGAAGGGTAACTGAGATGGAAAAAAGAGTGAAAAACTATAAAAGATAAAAGGAACGATAAATTTCAATTATGATATTATTGACAGTCTAGACAATTCAACGTCCGAATATATTATTTATATAAATAAGGGAGCTATTCTATTTACACAGATATACAGAAAAAATGGTGATTATATTAAATCTATAAAGTTGGAAGAAATAAACTAAATTACAATTCGTAATCCGAGGATCATTGTTAATTCTAAATTATATATAAGAGAATATCTTGAAAAGAGGCATTGCGGTAAATAAAAATCAGAAATTTAGCCGAAACTTTTATTTCCAAATTTGATAGAAAATCAATTATTCAATTAACTGGTTCTATTAAAAAACGAACTATCAATTCTTGAACAATGCTGATTGATAATGATTATTAATGCAAAAGGTTCCAATTTCTATATAATAGATTGAAAATATAGCTTTCGAGGCTCTATATAAACTATTCAGTCTTCAATTAAAATTTATACCGTTCTACTATTTCTATAAGAAAAATTGATAGCTTATTTACATTTATTAAAAACTCATTTATAAGAATAATATATAAAATATATTACGTTTTTAATACATTGTTTTTAAAAATAATTAATGATATTGATTCCGGCTTTTGATACATTACATTGAAAAGCTTTACAATCAATTTGAAATAAGTGAATAGATAGAACATGATTAAAAATAACATTGTAAATATAATTATTTTATGTATATAAATTAATAAGAAGAAAATTTATCGTATTATGCACCGATTGAAAGTATCTGATCTAGTAATTTACAATTTGTGCTTTAATTCAGTGCATTATTCTCTTTAAAAATAGTAATAAAAACGTTTTTTGTATTTATCTATTGTAAATATTTATTTATTTATTCTAAAGATTATAATATTTATTTATTCTAAAAATTAATAAATTATAATTATATTTTTTAAATTAGAGAAAAAAAATATCGGTATAGATAAACTGATTCTAAAACTAATATCTGAAGTTTATTTGTTAGTTTATGTTATCAACAAGTTTAACTTCAACCGTGCGAGAAAAATTACTACATTTATACACATTTATACAAAAACAGTTCCATTTAAAATATTACTGAATATATTATTGTAAAAAATAAAATTAGAATACGAAAAATCTCTTTAAAGATTATACATTGTTATATAATTGTGTAAATTTAGGCTAATAATAAAGACTATATATATAAAACTAAAATAGTTTAAAATTGTAGGAATTACAGAAAATGGAAGTTGCGTATAGAGATCACATGATTTCACATCAATTTGAGTATAAGATTTTCTATTAATGTATGATCAAATAAAGTCGGCCTCATAATATATATATATATATATATATATATATATATAAAGAAGTTAGATATTTCTATAATTTATAATTTATTTCTGCAGTATATAAAATTTTTGATACTTTAGAAAAGCTTTTAGATACATGATATACCTCTATTTTTTCTCTCTTTCTTTAACGGATCGCTAAATCTCGAAGGCAATTTTTCCAAGCTTTATATTTACTTCGTTTTTTCAGCAATATATTACTTATCCTGAGTGAATATATAACTTGCCAGAATGATTAAACAAAAGCTTATTGAAAATCATTAAGGTAATGAAATAAAAATTGGTACAATTGTTATTATGTATTCGGCAGGCAAGTAGGTATCATGTTGTTAGCTTACTAAGCTTTAATGCAATAAAATTTCACCAAGCGCCACAAAATTATCAAGAATATTAAAGTGAAAAATAATATTTCATGAACAACAAACAAATGATAATAATATTTATTATGGATTAATCAGATTTAGAATCATTTTAATGACGCGCAAAAAATTTTGCAGATTCATAATAAAAATAGACGTATAAATGATATGTTAATACTTGTAAGTATATACTATAAATTGTTTGCATTACAATAAAATTTCAAAGAATATGGCAACTCTATATATAAATATTTGAAACGATCAACTCTCATTCAATAAGCATTTTATAAAATTCAGTTTTGAATATATATTATAGATTTTGAATTTAAAATATATAATTAAAAATGAAGGCATTTAAAAATTATACTTCATTTTTACAATTACATTCAAGTTTTTACTATTACATATTTAAAAGGAAAATAATTTATCTGTTTAATATAAGAGATATAAGCGCTATAGATTTTCTTGTCTTTAAAAACATAATTTCAATAAATACAAAAACTAAGTCTTATTTATATATACAAGTCTAATTTATATATAATCATTAACGATAATTTTAAAGTTTAAAATACGATATTTTATAACAATTTTCGTATGTGATTGATTCACTGAAAAGAATTTTATTAAGATCTATGAATGATGAGATGCATACGTAAGATATTTTCATTGAACCATATTAATCAGAATTTTAAATGCTGATCCGAACTGCGCACGGCTTACATATTAGGCTAAAAGCTATATTATATACTCGCGTAAGGATTGGTCTCGAATATATAGCGATCCAAAGTAAGTTCACTGTAAATTCATCCTTTCTTGAGTTGGTCCAAGATCAAAGGATCCTTTGACCTTCGCCTTTTCCCTATGTATTCGTGTTGTCGTGGGAGGAATGTCACCAGATTCTCTAGATTCTACTATGAGTCCCCTTATGTCGAAATTGACTGTATTGAAATACTCACTCGTCTATGATAAAATATATTTAAAATGTCGCATTGGTCATCGGAATCATAACGATTTTGTTTACGAATTACAATAATATTTAACAAGGCGTATTTCTTTATGTTTATTGAATAAATGTTATTGTATAAAAGATCTATATATTATATTTTATAACTCATTTCAATTACTTTAATCAAAATTATTAAATCAATATTTTATTACAACCTGTATTGCAGACCTGAAATAAATCTTTCAAATACATTCTGAAAAATTATATTCTGCCTTATAAATATGTTTTAATACATAAATATTTTCCACTTTTCAAAATTCAATATTAAAATATCATAAGCATAAATAATTTTTATCAAAATAAAGTTTTTTAAAAATTTTAAACTCTATCTAAACACAGTTTCTATTCTATCAAGCAAAAATGTAAATATGTATTTCTTTTAAAAATTAAAATATTCACGGCAAAGAAAATTTACATTAATTAAATTATTAATTAAATTGATTAAATTCAATATAAATGAACGTCATAATAAATTAATTTATTGCATTTATTAACTGTGACATTATATTCTTTCATTTTTATTGAATCGATCAGCTTTTGATATATAATTCTACAAAATGTTAAAATAAAATTAACATATTATTTTTATTAAAAAATTATCAATATTTCTAAATTTTTATTGTATAATTTTTAGTTTTTACATTAAGCTACTTTAAAACAATAAAAATTTTGTAAAAATAAATAAATCGTTAACTACTAAAAAATGAATATTTTATAATTAATCTTTATCAATTTTTTGTTCGCCACATATTTTACAACTTTTCAAATCTTTTAAATTATTAAATTTGATAATTCATTATTACCAAAAAGAAGGTTTTACAAAATTTTTATTTCGCCAACTGCAAAGAATTTGTTTTAATTACTCAAAATGGTTATTATAATTTAAATAAAAATTCATTATTGATTGTGTACATTATCATATTATTTATTTTAACAATTTTTATGATACTATAACAATCTTACACTAAACTAGCATCTGAATTTAGTGATTTTCTTTCAATAATTTCAAACTCACTATATATATAAAGAGTAGTCTATAAATAATTGGTTTATGTAAAATTTTAAATAAGTACCTCTTGATATATGAAATATCATTTTATGTTTGCAAAATATTAGGCATTTCTACTCCTAATATAAAATACTCCTAATAATAAATTATGTATATTCGTGAATGCACGTTAAGCTTAATTTGATTTGAGTAAAAGTACAATTGCTCCGATCATTTTCAAGTAAAAATGAATCAGTCAACTGTCATTCACTTGATTAAAAAGTAACAATAAACTTTTTTATGATCAACTTTCTTTGCTATCAGTTGCTTATAGATATGCTTAAACAATACGAACGACCATCAATAGAAAGAAAAAAAAGTTGAATTAAGTGCCCTAGCAAATTTAAAATTAATTGCCTTATCTTCCCATTGGACTTTTGATAAACATAATCTTGAGAAAAGTATATCGCGTAATATGCTGACAAATTCATTGTGAAATAATATTCGTAAATAAACAATCGAACGTTAATTTCACCGAGTGTAAAACATCTGTTTTTACTTGACGCCCGACACGATTAACTAAACATACCATTAAGCATACGCATGACACGTATAAAAATGGTTAATCAATTGACTTATTTTATAATTATTTTTCTCTATTATTTTAAAGGTGACAAAACCTGACTGAAGAGAACAAGACCGAGGACGAAAAGGACTTCCGTAAAATATAACCATGCCTGTTGGTGGTAGAGTGGCTGGTAAAGGAGGTGGCGCTTACAGTTCCTCAAACAATGGTATTAAAAATATTGTTAGCAGTTCTTTAAATATTGTTCTACTTTTAAATTTATGCATATCACTCTGCACCTATGTATATGTGTATCGTCATGCACATTCATTTGAATATGAGTACTACAAATGATAATGCAGATCATCGTGACCATCTGAATTGACTGATGATTTTATATTAAAAAATGATGAAGATTATTTATACAATATGGAAGTTCTACTGCAAAGTATAAAAATATTTTAAATAGCAATTCACATCATATATTCTATATATCATTTTAAAGTCGCATCACTGTTGGAAATACTCATTTTCAAACATCTATGTAAGAATTCAGAACTTAATGATTATTTGTTGGAGGTACGAACTATATTTTTTATTTTAATCAGTAATCAAAATAATTTATTTAATATTTCTGCCATATACTAATCACTCTGTTACGCTCATTATAAATTAGTCAGTCAGTCAATTTATCATTCATTGCGCTATTTAAGCTCAGTGTAATTTATTCAATCAATCAGTCATCAGTCATTACGCTATTCAACTACGCTACTTAGCCAATGTATTCTGTCATACACCAGTCACTCAGTTACACTTGATTGTAATTAATCCATTCAGCCAGAATTTACAGCAATAAGCTAGTCAATCTGTAATACTAAAACAATCAAGCCATCCCAAGGAATACTCGTTTTCATCAATCATCAAGCGTGATACAACTTACAAGCAGTCAAGGGTGCTGACTGCATTACGAGAAACTACCCGGCTACAAGAAGCAGGGCCTCAAGGTATTCCTTTATAATCATTCAGTCGAAAGACGTCCTTCTAGGAGTACGGCGTGCATATTCCTGTTAATATTTTCAACATTAGCAGAAGCCAATTGTCATTGTATACGCATTCAGGCTACACATCCTATATAGGAGTGGACGCATATTACAGCGAATACTTACAATATTAGCAGACGTCACGACGTCGTCACCATCAATGAGGGATCACATCATTGTGACAAGACAAAGTTTACACTCTTCCATGAGAAGCGAATACTGCTCATTACTAGTATAATTATTAATAAACCATATGTTAACGAAGTGTGCACGTATTACACATTTCTAACCTATCGAACTATCTACACCTATCTACACCTAACAGTGGAAGTTCGAGTCAGGAAATCAAACAGCTTCGAACATATATATATATATAGATACATTGGTAATTTATATGTCTGATTAAATAAAATATAAGTATATATATCTATATATTACCAATTAATTATTATCGAGTAAGCATATATTAAATGATCGAAAGTGGGTTGATTTTTTGACTGTAACTGCCAATGTTTCGATAGCTTTGTAATAAATTGCCGCCGCCCCTAGTAGATGCTTGGGGAGGAGTTAAGTGAAAGAACTGTAGAAATGTGTAGTACGTGCAGTAATACGTTATCATATGGTTTATTAACAATTACATTACTAATAAGCTGTATTTACTTCTTATAGGGGAACTTAGACCTTGTCTTTTCTCAATAATGCTGTTGCTTTTTGATAGTGACGATGCTGTTGCTGATCTTGTAAGGATTATCAATGGATGATGTATGCTCCTTGGTGAGGAGTATGCCCCTTCTTGTGTACATAATGTCACGTCTACTAATGTTGTAAAGATTAGCAGGGATATGTGCACACTCCTGAATACGACGTCTGTCGACTGAATGATTGTAAGCGAATACCTCGATACTGTGCTTCTTGTAGTCGTATACTTTCTTGTAATGTAGACAGCACCATTGATTGCATGTAAATTATAGCACACTTGATAGTTGAACATGTACTCCTTGTAATGGCTTCACTGCGTTTAGCATAACTGAGTAATTACTTTATGGCTGTAAACTCTTGCCGAACAGTGTAGCTGAATAGCGTAATGACTGATAAACTGACTGACTAACTAAATTACAATGAGGGCCTAAGCGTGGTGAGCTTCCAATAAATATCCGCGCGGCAGCTTACTTAGCTGGCAACATAGGTGTTGCTATGCGGAAATCTTGCATGATGTGCGAGACTAAAGCTTTAGAAGTTTGGAAAATCCAAACGACGCTACTATGCGAAGACCAGATAAACATTTTCGGACATTAAACATAAAACATTGTATTTCTTTTAAATAGTTTAAAACTATGTTAACATTTCTTATTTATATTATAATTAATATTCATTAATAATTCATTTTATTTGATGCTGCATAATCAATTATAATTATTACTTACTTCTTATAATTAATACAATAATTTTTTATATTAATCATGTTTAAAAACTCAAACACGTATTTACTTATTGTTTATAAAGAAAATTTATCGAAATATATAATAAATTCATTTAAACGTAGAATTTCGTAAGTGATGGATTAATATAAGAGTTGTTACTGTTCTTACATTACTGTTTATGATTTCTAATAAATGATATATTTAAAAAAATACTATAATTTTTAGCATGAAATCAAATTAACGCACTTTTTAAAATTATTTACAGGAAGTTTTGAGGAAACCGTAATGTGTTGTTGCTTCTTAACGTATTTTCTTTTAATCAGTTGATAAGTTACTTTTAATCAGTCATTTTTTGAGCAATATATAGCAAGTTATTTACAGTATATATAAACAATATATTAGTCTACATTGAATAAAAATTGATCAGTTTCTTAAACGATCTTCTACAAAATAAAAGATAGAAAAATGTAACTTTGCTTAACATTGTTGTATCAGCTTTCCTTTTTAATAAAATATTAAATATTAATATTAAATATTAATAAAATAAATTTTTAATATTAAAATAATTAAAATCGGAATATTTATTATCTTCATTATCACGGAATCTATATTAATAACTTCTATATTTCAGACAATGTCTTAATTAATATTTAAAAGAATTAAATAATAATTTGAAAAGAAAATTGTATTCAATAGTGTATGAAAAGTGTTGGTTAGAATATAATTAATTATGCTACATAAGGGTATTATCTTTTTTCTTAAGGAAAACTTAATAATTTTTTTTTTTTTTTTTTGATGTTACAATTAAAAATTATATAATATATTCCTATAATTGCTACAGTATTCAATAATCATTAGCATAAATTATTGAATTTATAATACTAATAAAGAACAAGCTTCTAATTAAAGTTTACTAACATATTACAATAACAGAAGAAATAAAAGAATAATATAAAAAATTGAGAAAGACGAATCGACAATTTTTGAAGAAAAATTTAATCGTCTTTTCTGGATTATCTGGAAGATATTGGTGTTCAAATCCAAATTTTCAACTTCATCATTTTATTGCAACTTTATTATATAATTAAGATTTAACGACTGTGTACATGATAATACAAATCAAGGAATAATGTATTTCATAATTCTAATTTTTCATATTAGTTGAGAAAAATAGGAAAATCAATAATGATTTATTCAAGTGAATAAATATGTCTATTATATAATATGATAAAATAATATGCATCAAATAACTATGAAATTAATGTCTACCTTTATTTTAATTAAATTCTGCTAAATTAATGAAGTATTATCATTAAAAAGTGCAAAATTAATTCACTAATACTGTTACGGTAATAGTAAAAAAATAAAATAGTAAAAAAATTTGATGAACACATTAAAAAAACATTTGCAATCAATAGAGCATAAACATTATTAAAAATATTCCTTGGCTTTGTATCTTTAAAGCTGAAAATGAAACAGAGAAATATAAAAGTATTTCTATGTAGTTTATTATATCATTTATTTCATTGATATTAATATATGTAATCAACAGTTATTTTCGAATCAAGTAATGGAATTACTTTCCATCAATCTTTTTTCATTCAAATAATGAATATATATATATATAATATATTTTTAAATAAGTAATAAAACATTAAATATATGAAATTATAAAAAAATTATAATTCTTTGCTCGATGTTTGTTTCATTTTCAACTTGTGTAGAGTATATTATAAGATATACTAAACAATTATAAAAATAAATAAATAATTTTCATCTTAATATTTAAATTATTCAATGTATGATATACGTCAAATTTTCTATACATACAAAAATTTTAAATGCATTGCTATATTTATGTAATCTTTTTTTAATCTAAGCAATTATCCTAAATATATGTTTTTAAGTTATTATGAAAAGCATAAAATGATTAGATTAAATTATATAAGTATACTAATTATTTTACACTATAATGATAAATTTATAATGAAAGAATTGAATTTGTTAGTAAAGCAAATACAAAATTATTGAATTGGCCATAATAATGTATATTCGTATCATCAACTTTTAGATAAAAAAAAACTTAATCTCATAAGAACACAATAATTAAATGTAATAAAACGGAATAATATACACTTTTCGACGGATATTATCAATTTCCGTACATATATATATATAATTTTTGGCTAAATTCAAATTAATGTATTAATAGCATAGACTTTAATCATTTTAAAAAAGTTGAATCTCATAATTTTATTCCTGCAAAAACAGATAACAAATCCATTAAAATAAATCTCAAATATTTTAAATATAAACTATATAAAAATAAAAAAGTTTCACTAAAAATTTTCATATCATTTTGTTTAAAATAATTACAACGAACTATGATCATCATTATTGTTTATTGAAACACTTTTCAATAAATAATATAAATAAAGTCATAGGTCACTATATATCCTCTGTGTTTTTAAAGAGCCATGAAATAAATATAACGTAAGTTTTGAAATAGAAAATGGATAAATATAGCAATATAAAATTGGAAATTTTAAAGTCACATAAAATATGTTTTTCCCAAAAACTTGCATATATATCAAAAATATATATCAAAATTGATAAAATGAAAAAAAAAGGTAAGAAATAAATTAACAAATATGTTTAGAAATAATGAAAAAAACCAAATCTAAATCCTATTCTATAGTAATCTATATACTATGCAGTATATTTTCGTAATAAAAAATAATATGAAAATAAAATATTTGAAAAAATTGTTAATAGCTGCACATTAAAATAAAGCTCAAGAAATATTTTATTTCCTTACAAGCTAATGTTCAGCTTTTTATTATGTATACATTTGATAATTGAACCTTATTAATGTTAATCGAAAATCCACTGCAATTCAAATATATTTTATAATTCATGTACAAAAAAAATATTAGCTTTTCTTATTTATATGTTATATTTTTTGCAATATAGCAGTTCCAATACGATTTCATCTATATAACAATTGATAATTTATTCCTCATTCGCTTTATTTTACAACGGAAATACAATAGTTTAAAAATAATTTAACAATAAATTTATTAAAGCGTTATATTATGAATATTTAACACGAACAAATAAAAAAGATTTTCTGAACTCTTAAAATGGTAGAATCAACAAATTTATTTGTATTTCTTTTTTATTTTAATGAAATGGCATAAAAGCATAATTAAATACTTTGGATGTATGGTACTTTAAGCATTATAATTGCGTACTATTTGAATGTATGTTACTGTGCTCAATAACAAAAATAAATATTCATTTTATTTAATTCTGCATCAATTAAATATACGGTGTTCTATTAATAAATTGATTTATTAATAAATGAAAATGAAATTAATTAAAAGATAATTAAAGAAATTTCATAGGTCAATATCCTAAATAAATAAAATATTTTATAATTAGGATGATCTCTATTTTTATTGTTATTCAGAATATAAATGTAAAACATATATTTTCAACACAATTCTCTTCTAAAAGTGAAAAATATTTTAAATAAAAATTATTGGAATCGGTAAAGAAAGTATATTTATGTAATTATGAATGCTTAATTATATTTGTTAAACTAAAATTTTGATTACCTACATGATAGCTGTATTTTTATGGTCCTAGCATATATATTTATTTGAAGTTCAAATTTAATACTTGCACCCGTATTCTATAAAACGGTGTTTAACATACTATGAATTATAAATAGCATTACAATACGCTTGCTAAAGTAGTAATCATATTATTGATAACGCTTATTCGCTGTCTAAAAGTCCTGTGTGTCCTTAAATGCCGTATTCTATGAAAGTTTTACTGATTTCGTTTATATCGCAGACATATTGTCATATCGGTTGGATAGCAGCCACCTTTATTATTTCAGTACTACCCTTAGCTTCTAACTTCATATCACTCAAAATCGAATTTAGCACGGGGCTTGAGTTCACATGACAGCAACTTCACGGTTATAGCCTATAATCGGTATCCGCGATCACCGAACATAACTTAACTTTTCTGTTCATAGGTCGTTCCCAGAGTGGAGTGAACGAGACGATAATCTGGACAAGTGTAGGGATGGGCATCACCATTACCTTGCTTATCACAATCGCCCTCTGCTACATCGCCCGTGAGAAATGCAAGAAGCGCCATGAGCCCTACAGATGACGAATGTATCCGCCTCCCTCGTGGACTCTACGCTACAATCCGCCCACGGGGATCGTCGTCAGCCCAACATTATCTTCCTCGGGCAGGCCAAGAGCTTACTATCTAACCATTTAAAAGGCCACCATTAGTGAGCTACGTTTTTACCTACCGTGATCTTCGCCGGCTGCTCATAATGAACTAATTAATAGAACAACTCAACGTTATTTGGGTAGAGTCTACCTTGAAAGCACTACCGACTAAGCTCGCGAATGTTATAAAGATTTTTTATATATTTTAAGTATTATTCAGTGTGCATTGTTTTCATGATTTTGAATGAGATTCTTAAACGGGGTATGATCAACTTTCCTCTTTATTGTATGAATAACGCATACCCTTATTCATGACTTCTAAAGTTAGTAGTTTTCGGCATTACGTATAATGATGTTTCAAATAAATATATATTTTAGTGTTTCATCGTGAATATAAATGACGAGATATAACTACGTTAAGTAAAAAATGCATTTATCATTAAGTCATCAATGAAAAAATATTAAAACTCCAGATGCATGAAATCCGTGAGTACTCGAGTATTTTATAATCTCTGCTAATCCGTAAAGCAAAAAATTACTCGTCTAAATACAAAAATATTTGCAGCATGCGATTAACTAATTAATACTAAAAATTCATCTAAAAAAAACGGGGAAATAGACGCTACAAGCTTATTTAAGCAAATTACGTATGTATACAATGTGGCTTCGTGAAAACATAACCTTTGTCCGAGAGCAATCAAAAAATTCTAAAATTTGATTTGTCGACAAAGTAAAAGTCAAGCTGCACGCATGTGTGCATTGCCATATACAAAGGATATAGGGAGTGGGAGACATAAAAGCCCCGTTACGAGAGTGATGGATGACGATAAAAACACAGAGTTGAAACGTTACAGCATATATATATATATATATGTGCAAGGACGTAAAGAAAGAATGAGAGATGTGGGGGTGGAGGGTGATAATGAAAAAAGCCAGAGCTGTATAAAAAGCCGTGAAAAGTAGCTGCTCTTGGTTTGAGAGTTAAAGGTAAAAATTCTCGAGAGACGCTTTTAAATACACTCCACTACCAAATCTTTTACGATACGCGTGATAAGGTTACAATTTAACGTGTATAATGCAGTCGAGTTTCATATCGTTATACCACTACTTACATACCATGTGGGAATTTACACGTTTTGTAATAATGTTTTTACAATGTCGCGCGCATCTTTGCCGTATGTACACTATAAAAAGTTTCAAATGACTCGACTGTTAATTATATAAGTTTTCAAAGCCTCGAGACATGTTAACATACTCTACGGAGATGTCAGCAGTAATATATATGTATTACAATTTTATTACAATTATATGGAATACCAGGGAACTCTATTAAAAGCGGTTATTGTATCGGGAAAAGTATAGTTACAAAAGTTATTTCATGTATACAAAACATATTTTGAGCTCATTATAAAGAATTTCTCATCCATAAGTCAAGTTTAAAAATATCAAATTGCAAAACAAAAGGTCTGAATTATTATAAAATTTAAATTTAATCTTGTAATGAAGACGGCATATTATACTTACACTCTACTAGCAAATGATAGTATTCATCATAATGTTAACTGTCATCAAATACTAATTTCAATACAAATAGAAAAGTAAAAGAGAATTGTAAATTAAAAAACTTTATTTTTATTTTCCTATTGTTAAATGTATTCTTTATCATATTCTATATAATAACCACTTACTATAATAAACTACTCTACTGTATGAGATGTTAGGAATATAATGAAAGAAAGGAACACGATAATAAAAGAAATCGCCACTAACATGTTATATAAGTTGGAGAAGAAAAACATACGCTTTTAAGCTATAAAAATTTTCTAAAGAAAATACCGTTGCTCATTTCGGTATTGAGAGATAAGCGTTTTTCACAACTTGGAAATAACTTCTTTAATCAAAAAAAAGATTCAATTAAGTTTATAGGTCAACCTTTCATATACCTTTCCTAACGAATTTCTTAATAATACAAAAATTTCATCCGTGAGAGATAATTTACTATATTTATAAATGAAATTTCATTTAAATTCTAAGTTTTCTAAACTTCATTTGAATTCTACGTGGGATAACAAAGTCGTGGTGTAAACCTATTCTTTAACATAATAGAATTCACTAAATATTATCAAAATTAAATGCAATCATATTAAAATAATATTAAATTAAATGATATTATGATTAAATTAAATGAATTAAATAATATTATTAAAATTAATACGACTGAAACATTAAAATATATATTATTTATGCATCAATAATAATTATATCAATTTGTGAATATTGTAAAATATACTTCAAAATTTATACGTCTTATTTATCAACTCGATAAATGTGTTAAAAGTTTTTAATACAATGTTAAATGTTATAAACTACAGCGAGCGTGCGCATACTTGTATACGAATACACACTTGCGCGCATATAATTACACACACACACACACACACACACACACACATTATATATATATATATATATATATATATATATATATATATACATTCCTACCTATGAGAAAATATGAGTATAAAATGTTGATGTTAATTATGAGAATATTCATCGTATTCAAAATACGTGAAGATAAATGACCGGATTTTAATACACTGATAAGTTGTATAGAATATCATTATAGCACTGTAAGAATAGTAAAACACTAATATTAAAATTTGGCATGCAGTATGAATAAATAAATAAAACTTTCATAAAATAAAATACATATATATGCATACTGCAATCATACAAACAATTGCTGACAATTTAATCATATTACAACACCAACGGTGTTGGTATATCGATTAGTTAAATTGAGATCAATTATAAATAAAAGAAGAAGAATTGAATCTCGGAAACTGTATGTTTCCATCCTAGCACGCGATAATGCTTCATACATATGCTCGCTTTCCTGAATTAATGGATGGATTATAAAAACCTTATTGATTGAAAGAAAATTTATATTCTCATATGTGGGATAGAATTTTTTAGTAAATTTTATTTTATAATTATGACTTATTATCTATCGATCAATCGTTACACTTGTTGATAAATCTGGCACTAATTTGTACTAACTTTGTATGACAATATATCGAAGTATTTTTAAAAAACGTTTACTGTAGGTAGCTTATGTCAAGACTTTCTATTTTTGAGTTAAGAAATTTTCGTGAACAGAACTTTCGTACAAATAATAATGAAATTATTGTCTTTTAAACTATTTATATTAAAACATTTTAATAAATGTAAAATATATATATTTTTTAAATTGGTGTACCGAAAAATTTTGTAAAACTATATTAAAGAATAGATTTTCCTGTATTTTTAATTTTATAAACAACATTAAATTTTTCAACGGATATTAAATGAAACATTTTTTTATGAAAATAAGAAAATAAAAAATATTATAAAATTCTTTTAATCGATTGTGAATTAATTAGCCTATTCTATTATTATTATTAGAGGAAATCAGTTTATAAAAATATTATATATTTTATTACGAATTACATTAAGACTTAATAAATACCTTTTTTAGGAATTGATAATTAATTTAAACTACTGATTACAATAGTTACTTTGTTCATTTGTATATATCACGGACACATTATGCAGTTTCTGAAATTACAAATTTTCTATATGATTGTCTATTTCTATATGATTATTTTATAGTTAAACTCAAAATATTCATAAAACCAGTTATTCACAATACAAGTATGAATACGTTCAATTGTCATATATCAAACATCTTCGATGAATATCTTGAACGAGCAGTTCAGCAGTTCAGCTCAGCGTGCACTAGACTTACCCCATTAAATCCGATTGAGCGAGCATATATATGCTTATATCTTCTCTTTGTAACCCATAAATCCAGATGGCCTTACGTTAATCAAACAAAGTAAGCGCATAAAAGTCAATTGCGCGCCAAAGTGTCTATGCATCAGTCGCAAAACAACAACTTGGCGCCTCGGTTCAAAGGAAAATGAGAAAAATTCCGAATGAGTCTCAAAGTATATCTGATGTTTTATGAACTATCTGGAAGAGGAGACTGCTTGGATACGAGTTTTCGATACTAAAAAATGGTAGAAAAAGTGAAAAGTAAGCAGAATATGTATTTTTATCGCTTAGGGACTTTTTCAGAAACACGTTTTACATATTTATCAAATCCGCGAAAAAGATATGTGAAGAAATAAAGAGCAATGAAAAAGAAAAAATTCACAGTTGCGGTTTTGTAACGTGCGCGTTAATGAGAAAGATTAGAATGTATTATTTAGTCATTTTGATAGGATATTGTGAAAATGAAACAATACCCAACTGAATTTTTTTGATAAAGCTTTTAACAATTAAAGCTAATGTGAAGCAGAAATTTTTTGCCTTTGCACTACTAATGACGTAAATTGTTCATATCTAGTGATTACCTTGGCTCTTAACGAAATTTTGTTTTAACATTCAAGTACTACTTATCTTCACATATATTTAATGCAAAATCTAATTAAATTCATATTATATTGTAATATGATAATTGAAATAACAATTATGTCAAAAATGATTTAACTTATATTTTTTAGAAACTTTTTAGAAACTTGAAATAATATAAATACTAAATGAGCAGAATCTTCACTGTAAACTAACAATAAAATTAGATTCTAAAATTTTTTTTTATCAATTACTTAAATTTATGTTACAAATATTTTGATTGTAGAAAAATAATTACATAAAATTATATAAAAATGAATAATTGTTGACATGGTTTTTACTATAAATTTCAATGAGTGTACCAACGACGATGTTGCATAAATAACCAATATATTCTAAAAATTCGTGCCGATGTAGTGATTTAAAGCTTTTATTTTTATGAATAGTACCTTATTATGAACTAATATTGATAGTCTTAGGCTAAAAAAAGAACAATATTGAAAATATTGTTGGAACTAAATAAATATATATAAAAATAATGGCAAAATATCAATTACCTTATGTAAAATATAAAAGAATATTCACCTAAAATTTTTCTGAAAATTCATTAGAATTTACGGAATTATGTTAGCAAACTAGAAAAAAGGCCTCGATCAAGAATATGGCTATTTTTATTTAAGATTAATAATTCTTACATTTATACATATGTATATTTGTATTGTTATAAAAATTTCATTACCAAA